GATCCTTTTAATTTGGTTGATCGTGATGTTGAAGTTAATAAAGTACAACCAGTTGAATTTTCAAAATTGTCTCTACCTCTTATTCCCACCAAAATGAGGGAACCATCACCAGCTCCTGAAGAACTCAATCACAATATTGTTACTGATATCTGATTAATCTGGATCTTATTGCATTTATTATGTTACAGTTTGTTTATTTTGCTTGATCATTTATCTGATTTGATTGTTAATTTTCTTACTAATTATTGGCTACTCTTTAGTTGTTAAACCTTTTGATTTCTTTTTTCTTTCTTGGTTGGCATGGAGTGGAAGGCTTGCCCCCCCCCCCCGAGGGGTACTTTTTAAAATCAGAGTGATTTCTGGCAGAGGGAGATATGGTGTAGGTGCTGTTGCCATTCATTCCAGAAGAATGGTGAACAGATGCTTGAAATCTGTTCACTGTTCTGGCACTGTGACCTCCTGCCAGACTGAGGTAGTCAACTCAGCTGGCCCTCCACTCTAAACCTGGTGTTGTTGAATGCCAGATCTGTATCAAATGTTCCAGATTATACAAGATCTGATTCTGGAGGAGGATGCAGATCTGGCATGCATAACCGAAACATGGATGGGCAGGGAAGGGGGCATTCCCCTGACTCTTGCCTGCCCTCCCAGTTATGCAGTCCAACATCAGGGCCCACTGGAGGGGTGGGGCAGGGGTGTAGCCATTGTCTACAAAAATAACCTTCAGGTTGCTAGGCGTTCTGCTCTGGTGACGCTGGGTCTAGAGGCCCTCCACGTGTTGATTGGGGCCAGGGATGATATAGGATCTTGCTGTGTTACCACGCTTTCCGCAACCCAGCCATTTCCTTACTGGAGCTGGCGGACTTCATCTACACAGCACCGTTGGGGTCCCCAAGGCTTTTGGTCTTGGGTGACTTCAACGTGCAAGCGGAGGCAGAGGTTTCCGGTCCAGCTCTTGAGTTCTTGGAGACCATGGCCTCCTTGAACATGTCCCAACATGTCAACGGCCCTACCCACGTGGGTGGCTGTACACTGGACCTGGTGTTCTCCACTGAGCAGAGTAAGTGTGCTCTGATGGTGACTGACCTTGTGTCTGTCCCCTTGTCATGGTTGGATCATTGCCTAATTAAATGCAATCTCACTGTGGCTCTCCCTCCCCGCAGGGAGCAAGGACCTGTTTTAATGGTTGGCCCTCAAAGGTTATGGGATTCTATAGGATTCCAGGACACCATGAGAAGGAGTCTGGCCAATTTGACTGGTGCTCCTGTTGAGGCTTTGGTTGATAGCTGGCTGGCCGCCGGAACCAGGGCTGTTCGCACGATCACACCTAAATGCCCTCTCCGGCACAAAGTTCACCCTTCGCCCTGGTTTAATCCAGAGCTGTGATCAATGAAGTGAAATAGGAGAAGGCTAGAATGCATATGGAGGTGGAAGCCAGCGGAAAATAATCAAATAGCTGTCAGGATCGCAACTAACCTCTACCAATCTAAGGTGAAGGCTGCTAGTCGATCTTACTTCGCTTCCCGGATAAGTGAAGCCTCCAACCAGCATGCGGAACTTTTCTGTATAGTTAGTGATCTATCCCAAGTTGGTCATAGTGACTGTCCTCCCACTAGCATCATCTCACCTGGCCTTTTAAAAATCAAAAGTGGAGGTCATCTGCCGGGATCTTACCCCCTATTTGAAAACAGTAGATTGAGCAGAGATGTCCAGCACTCCATCTTGCTGGATGAGACTTAACCAATTTCAGCCTGTGACATCAGACATGGTGGACAGAGTGCTTGACCGCTGTAATGCCACCAACTCCTCCCTTGACCCTTACCCAGCCTGGCTAATCAAAGCAGCCAGGCCTATAACATCTGAATTGGCTACGGCAATATTTAATGGGTCTCTCCAGGAGAGACACTGCCCTCAAGGAGACACTCATTAGGCCGTTAAGAAGGCACTGAGCTTGGCGGCGGACGATATTGGTAATTATAGGTCTGTCACCAATGTTTCTTTCATCAGCAAGGTAGTTGAGAGGGTGGTAGCTGGTCAGCTGCAGGCTCTTCTGGAAGAAAGCAATGCCCTGGATCCATTCCAGTTTGGCTTCAGGCCGTGCCACGGCATGGAAACAGCATTGGTCACCCTGTTTAATGACTTTCTGAGGGAGGCTGACAGGGGCAAAATGCCTTTGCTGGTCCTCCTCGATATCTCAGCCACCTTTGATACCGTCGACCACTGTATTCTCCCAGGGAAGCTCTCTGAGTTGGGAATCGGTGGCCTGCTCCTTGCCTGGCTCCATTCCTTCTTGGAGGACTGTTCCCAGAGAGTGCAGATTGGAGAGAATTTCTCAGCCCCATGGAGCCTCAATTGTGGGGGGTTCTGCAGTGCTCAATTATCTCTTCAATGCTGTTTAACATCTATATGAGGCTGCAGGGAGGGGTCATTAGGGTATGTGGGGCTTCGTGTCATCAGTATGCTGATGATACTCAGCTCTACATCTCCTTTTTTTCCAACAACAGTGGATGCTGTTTCATCCCTTGAGTGCTGCCTGGGGGCCAGTTCCTCTGCCCCTTTGAAATCCAGCTTGTACTTCTGAAAGTTCTCAATCCACATACTGCTGAAGGTATGTGAACTGCCTTGGGGGATTTTGAGCATAACCTTGTTAGTGTGTGAAATGAGTGCAATTGTATGGAAATTGGAGCATTCTTTGGCACTACCTTTCTTTGGGATTGGGATGTAAACTGATCTGTTCCAATCCTCTGGCCACTGCTGCGTTTTCCAAACTTGCTGGCATATTGAATGTAGCACCTTAACAGCGTCATCTTTTAAGATTTTAAATAGTTCCACTGGAATGCCATCACCTCCACTTGCCATGCTTTCTAAGGCCCACTTGACTTCACTCTCCAGGATGTCTGGCTCAAGGTCAGCAACCACACTTATTTGGGTTGTTCAGGGCATCCAGATCTTTCTGGTATAATTCCTCTGTGTATTCTTGCCACCTCTTCCTGATGTCTTCTGCTTCTGTGAAGTCCTTGCCATTTTTGCCCTTTATCACGTCCATCTTTGCACAAAATGTTCCTTGGATATCTCCTATTTTCTTGAACAGATCTCTGGTTTTTCCCTTTCTAATACTTTCCTCTATTTCTTTGCACTGTTCATTTAAGAAGGCCCTCTTGTCTCTCCTTGCTATTCTTTGGAAGTCTGCATTCAATTTTCTGTAACTTTCCCTATCTCCCTTGCATTTTCTTTCCCTTCTGCTATTTGTAAGGCCTCCTTGGGCAGCCACTTTGCTTTCTTGCATTACCTTTTCTTTGGGATGGTTTTTGTTGCTGCCTCCTGTACAACGTTAGGAGCCTCCATCCATAGTTTGCCAGGCACTCTGTCCACCAAATCTAGTTCCTTAAATCTGTTCTTCACTTCCACTGTGTATTCATAAAGGATTTGGTTTAGATTATACCTGAGTGGCCCAGTGGTTTTTCCTACTTTCTTCAGTTTAAGCTTGAATTTTGCTATAAGAAGCTGATGATCAGAGCCACAATCAGCTCCAGGTCTTGTTTTTGCTGACTGTCTCGAGCTTCTCCATCTTGGGTTGAAGATGGTGTATGAAATGTTTTTCTAGCGCTTCTACTCCCAACCCCCACACCAGGGATTTAAAGCCACATCTCCTAAATCGTAATCCATTGCACTACACCGGCTCCTGCTCACTGACTGACCTGAGAGTAAATGCCACTCAGTTCAACGGGGATTTCCCTGCATCTCCCACCCACTCATCGTTTGTGATGTTGATTCCATCAAAACAACAAGAACAACAACAACGTGGACGTTGAGTCCAATGCATCTTGCTAAAATGCACACGGGAGTTCTCGCAGCTGGAACCTCCTCTGGGACTGCTTCGTCATTCAGACGAGTATTACTGCAACGACGGGTTACTCCACCACCCAGAAGACGTTGCT